GTTGTTCACATCTATTGTCTCTGTAAGTAGAAATATTACACAATGATGTGTTACTGCACCCCATACTACCATACCATATAATGATTTTGCATTCAGTGATATCAGGTTGGTAGGTAAAACTTGCAATGGTAGGAGTATTTACACCATAGGTAATAAAAAATGCTATAAACCAGGACTTACTAGTATTTTTCTTAGTCAGTTTTAGATCTTTTCAAGGGCTACACCTTGTGTAGGCAAATGATTCTCAAATCCTTTTCATTTTTTCATTACACTTTTTGCCTAGTTCTTGTCTCTGTGGACAACTGCAATGTCATCTGAACTTGATATACATTCTCATATATTCTTGGCACTAGGAATACAGTGTTGAAGTTGACAAAGTCCCCGCATTCATGGAACTTATGTTAAAGTTGGAGGGATAGAAACAATAGGCACACACAAAAAATATTTGATGTGATATGAAATATGCAGAGAATTAAAATAGATGTACAAAGGTAGAAAAGGTGTCTGAGAAAGGCACTGTCTAACTGAAGCTATGAGTTGAAGGACAAGATAGAGTGAACCATGTTAGACACTAGAAGAAAGAATATTCCAAGCAGAGGGAACAGTAGTGCAGTTTGAAATGAAACTGCCATGCTTGTGAAAAAACTAGGATGTCTAAAGTAAAGTGGGTGAGAGAAGGTTGTAAAAGAATAAGGAAGTGGTATGGTAGGTGAATTTATATCTCAATAAAGCTGTTATGAAAAGTGCAAAGAAAAAAAGGATTACATCACATCAGTCTATATACAAGTGGAGAGAAGTTGAATTTTATTTTAAACACCATGCAAAACTATTGGAGAATTAGGAAGAAGTTTTCTTGCTCTGGCCGGTGTGGCTGGTTGGAGCATTGTCCCATGCACCAAAAGATGGCAGGTTCGATTCAAGTCAGGGAACATACCCAGGCTGCAGGTTGCTTGATCCCCTGTTGGGGTGTGTGCGGGGGCAGCTGATCGATGTTTTTCACATCGATGTTTGTGTCTCTCTACATTCCTTTCTCTAAACAATCAATTTAAAAACAGGGTAGGTTTTCTATTGCTGCCATACAAATTACAACAAGCAGTGATTTAAACAATATCCTCTTGCTTGTAGTAATGAGATCTCTATTTTCTGGCTGGCTGTGGCTAAGGGTCATTTCCAGATCCTAGAAGTCACTATATTTCTCAGCCCTCTCCTCTGTCTTCAAAGCCAGCATTGCTGGGTTGATTCTTTGATATATTTTTTTCCTCCTTATTTTATCTAATTTCCCCATCCGAAGGTCCATACTCTCAATCATATGTGTAAAGTCTCTTTTGCCTTGTAAGTTAACATAGTCACAGGTTCCAGGGGGTTAAGGCATGGACATCCTTGGAAGGCCGTTATTTTGCCTACCATCAATGGTATCATCCCAAGGAAGGTAACAAGAAACAGATTCAAGAGAAAGCTGCTGAGATTCCTTGACTTGCTTGCTGACCTACCACCACCAGTTCTTTTGGTCTGCTGAAGGACTAGTGCAGCCAGGTCACGCGATACTGTTGTTCAGGAAAGAAAGTGACTATCTGCAATGTTTTTTTATTTTATCTTATTTAATTTTATTTCTTATTTTTATTCTTCAGATTATTACAGTTGTTCCTCTTTTTTCCCCCCATAGCTTCCCTCCACTCGGTTCCCACCACACCTTCTGCTCTTACACCCCACCCTCCACTGTCATCATCCATAGGTGTACGATTTTTGTCCAGTCTCTTCCCGCACCCCTACACCTCGTTCCCTCCCTGAGAATAGTCAGTCCACTCCCTTTCTATGCCCCTGATTCTATTATATTCTACAGTTTATGCTGTTCATTTGATTATTTATTCACTTGATTTTTAGATTCACTTGTTGATAGATGTGTATTTGTTGTTCATAATTTGTATCTTTACCTTTTTCTTCTTCTTCCTCTTCTAAAAGGATACTGTTCAGCATTTCATATAATACTGGTTTGGTGGTGATGAACTCCTTTAGCTTTTTCTTATCTGTGAAGCTTTTTATCTGACCTTCAATTCTGAATGATAGCTTTGCTGGATAAAGTAATGTTGGTTGTAGGTTCTTGGTATTCATCACTTTGAATATTTCTTGCCACTCCCTTCTGGCCTGCATAGTTTCTGTTGAGAAATCAGCTGACAGTCATATGGGTACGCCCTTGTAGGTAACTGACTGTTTTTCTCTTGCTGCTTTTAAGATTCTCTCTTTGTCTTTTGCTCTTGGCATTTTAATTATGATGTGTCTTGGTGTGGTCCTCTTTGGATTCCTTTTGTTTGGTGTTCTCTGTGCTTCCTGGACTTGTAAGTCTATTTCTTTCACCAGGTAGGGGAAGTTTTCTGTCATTATTTCTTTTTTTAAAATATATTTTATTGATTTTTCACAGAGAGGAAAGGAGAGAGATAGAAAGTCGGAAACATCGATGAGAGAGAAACATCGATCAGCCGCCTCCTGCACACCCCCCACTGGGGATGTGCCCGCAACCCAGGCACATGCCCTTGACCGGAATCGAACCTGGGACCCTTCAGTCCGCAGGCCGACGCTCTATCCACTGAGCCAAACCGGTTTCAGCCTGTCATTATTTCTTCAAATAGGTTTTCAATATCTTGCTCTCTCTCTTCTTCTGGCCTCCCCATAATTCAGATGTTGGTACGTTTGAAGTTGTCCCAGAGGCTCCTTACACTATCTTGATATTTTTGGATTCTTTTTTCTTTTTGTTTTTCCGGTTGGGTGTTTTTTGCTTCTTTGTATTTCAAATCTTTGACTTGATTCTTGCAATCCTCTGGTCTGCTGTTGGAACTCCATATAATATTCTTTATTTCAGTCAGTGTATGCTTAATTTTTAGTTGATCCTTGTTCATAACCTCAAGGGTCTCACTAGATTTCTTGAGGGTCTCACTAAATTTCTTGGCGGTTTCTAGAAAATTCTTGAAAAACCTTGGTTTTGAACTCTATATCCAGTAGTTTGCTTTCCTCCATTTCTGTCATTTGTGACCTGTTTCTTTCCCTCCACATTTTTTATGCTTCCCTGTGTTGATAGAGTGGCTTTCTGTGCTAGGTGCCCTATAGAACCCAGTGGCTCAGCCTCCCCAATTATCTGAGGTGGACACTCTTGGTGTACCTCTTTGTGGGCTTTGTGCACAGTCTTGTTGTAGTTAAGCCTTGATTGTTGTAGGTATCATTGGGAGGAATTAACTTCCAGGCCAATTGGCTGTGAGAATTAGCTGTGTCTAAGGTGGGAGAACATCTGTGCTGGAGACACCCTTAGGGGCAAGACTTGCTTCAGTGGGGCTTTGGTGCTCACTGAGTCTGCCCCCTGAGTGCGTGGATCTTAGGAGTTGTAATCTGGATGGTCCCACTCTGACCACTGAGTACACTGGCTCTTGTATCTCTAAGGAGGTGCTAATTTAGTCTCTGCCTGAGGCTACCAAGCAGGAGCTATGGAGAGATCTGCAGATTCCTCTTCTTTGTTTGGGATTTGGAGGTGCCCAGATGAAGCCCAGCTGTGAAGCAATGCAAGCTGCTGTGGGGCCTTGGGCCTTCTTTTGGATGTTCTGGTTCTCTCTGACCAGCTGCAGTTTGTTAGGTAATTTTAGATTGCAAAGGGCCAGGGCATTCATATACAAAAACCTCTGCACACAGCTTGGGTGGGGCGGGATCTCAGGGAATCAATAGGGTGGAGCAAACAGCTATGGCTGATCCTCAATCCTACCCTAAGGGGCCCCACGTCTCAGTGTCCCGGGGTAATCGCTGCAAGTACCTTTGAGAGAAAGCTGCCCTCGAGTTCCGCCTACTGCCAGACAGTCCAGTTTCTCCCTGTATGAGTCTGGGTCCCCAGAGACTCACCTGGAACTGGAGTCAGGGCCGGAACTGGAGTCAGAGCTGACGAGAGCTTTTGTCTCCCTCCGATTGAAAAAGACAACCATGTCCTCAGTTGCCAGCCCTTTCCGCATGCCTCCGTACCTCTGCACTTCACTTCCGTACCTCCTCGGAGTCTCAGTGTGCTTTTCCCTTTCCTTCTAGTTGTAGAATTTCCACTCAGCCAGCCTTCCTGTGGTTCTGGGTGATGTCCGTTTTGTCATTTAGTTGTATTTTTGAAGTGGTTGTGCGAGGCAGCAATTTCCGGTGTTTACCTTTGCCGCCATCTTGGTTTTTCAAGCCTCTCCTATGTTTTTAAAAAGACAGTGTCCCAGTTTTAGAATGCACTAATATCAAGAGGAATCATTTTAGTTCCTCATCACTCATACTCGGCGAAATAAGTATATTTGGAAAAGAGTTGTTATAATGCATCCATAACCTGAGCTATACATAACATTTAATGTAAAGAATACTTAGTTGCACCTGTGTAGTTGTTTTGACCTAGCAATTTAGAAGTCCCTCTCTCCAATGCTGTTTAAACTTATCTGACAAGTTTTAATAAGTGGTACTTATTACATTGATTTATAATTTCTTGAAGGCTAACTAATAATATGCTGGGCCCTGGGCTAAACACTTTTATATACCTCGTCTCTTTTTATCTTCACAACAACAACATGGGGTAGATGCTATAATTATTCTTATTTTACAGATAATGAAGCTAAAGCACAGCCAGGTTAATTCATTTGCCCAAGGTCACCCCAATAGGAAACTAAGTTCACTGGGAGTCCAGTCCAATCAGGGACGATGGACTCCAGAGCAGATTCTGCCCACCCCCCTGCCTCACTAGTTTATAAATTATTAAACAAGACCAAGGCTAAGGTATGTTAAGCCTCAATCAGCCAACTATTTCAGTGGCATGAAATAACATGTGAAACTTATAAATGTTACCAAAAACCAGAATAATTTTGTTAGTTAAGGTAAAGAAGATAAAATAATTCTTAATGCTTGCTGGGTCTGTTTTTTCATGTTTCCTTAGCAATTTCCTATTGCAGTGAATAAATTCACATATGAACTAAGTTGGATTTTGATATGCTGACTTTATAATTTTACAGGACACCTGCAAAAAACTACATGATTACATGATTACAACAATGAATCCTTACATAATCAATATCACCCTAGCAGCTCTAATGTGTAGCCAGGTGTTTTGCCAGGAGCAAGGTATGTGCACAAGGAAAGATGCAGATTCCAGTGCATATCTCCATCTGAACTCAAAGAATTTCGTCATTGGAAGTTTCGGAAATGGAACATTTAGAATATTAGGGACACCCACGATGGAAGACCTGAAACAGTTTGCTGAACATTTTCAGTGCAGCTGCTATTCCAACACCGACTGTGAGAAGGAAGTTAATTTCACACAAACAATTGCTATCGATGTATGTATGATAGAAGATGTTTGTATAAAAGCCATTGTAAAGTCGAAAAATGAAATATTCCATTCAAGTGCAAGTCTAGTGCTCTTTTTATTATTTTTAATTGTTTTGGAAAACGAATACTTTGGCATGCAAACAAGACTTTGAAGGTATCAGAGAAGAATTTTGAGAGTGGCATGGAAGAGTATGTATAATAGAATATGTTTGTATAAAAGCCATTGTAAAGTCGAAAAATGAAATATTCCATTCAAGTGCAAGTCTAGTGCTCTTTTTATTATTTTTAATTGTTTTGGAAAACGAATACTTTGGCATGCAAACAAGACTTTGAAGGTATCAGAGAAGAATTTTGAGAGTGGCATGGAAGAGATCATAGCTTTATGGCTTTGAAGATGAGTAACAGTGAGGTGTGTGGGAACATGAGACAGAAGGAACTTCAGGAGGAACATTGAGTGTGGTGTTGACAGTGGTATACAGAAGATGATGCCCAAATGATGAATTTACAATAAAGGCACTCTCAAACCTCTTGACCTGCTCTATTTTTTTTCCCATTCACACATATCATAACATTTTACCCCCCATCACCTCTCTGTAATGTGAGCATCATGAGGACAGGTTTAGGTCTGTCTGGCTTGCTGCTATATTCACAGTGTGATGAACAATATCTGGGTCTTAGTAAGCATCCACTAAATTTTTGTTGAACAAATGAAATCCAATGGGGAACAACTAGAGAATTTTAAGAGTGGAAGTTGTCATGACCACGCTTCACAATTTGGGTCCTCTTGGACCAATGCTGCTCTTTTCCTTAGCTCTGTTCTTCATCTTCCACTCCAATTATGATTCTACTGTCAAAGCCATCTTTGCATAAGAAAGCCATGAAGCCCTAACCAGTTTGGCTCAGTGGATAGAGCATCAGCCTGCGGGACTGAAGAGTCCCAGGTTTGATTCCGATCAAGGGCATGTACCTTGGTTGCGGGCACATCCCCTGTAGGAGGTGTGCAGGAGGCAGCTGATTGATGTTTTTCTCTCATGGATGTTTCTAACTCTCTATCCATCTCCCTTCCTCTCTGTAAAAAATCAATTAAATATATATGTTTTTAAAAAGCCATGAAAAGGGACAATTTGATAATGACCTGAAAAGGACACTTTATAT